ATGGTGAAACCCCGTATTTAAAAAAAAAAAAAAAAAAAAAAGACAGGAACAATCGCCTTTGATTGCAGTTGTGGCCCAAAGTCCCTAATATATGCTGATCAAAAAAAGCTCACTGTTTCTTGGGCCAGAAAGATGTTTTCAGCCTCCTCTGCTAACAGTCTTGCTCTCATAATCCAATTTGGTAAGCCTCTCTTCTTCATGTGGAGGGTCTGGGGCACAGGTACTCCAGGACCTGTGGAATCCTGGAGCTGAAATGGAGTTGAGAGATGATCTACAATCTCCTGGTTTCTAACAGAAGAAACTAAGCCTAGAGTCACCCATCTGGTTAACAACAGAATTAGGACATGCAGAGCCCAGGTTACCATTGGAGGGTTCTTTCCACTGGAACACTATATTAAATCTTGCCCCAGTTGGAAGATTTGGGCCACCGTGCTTGCCTTCTTTCTTGGGTTATTAAATGAACAGTTTTTTGGGTCTGCGTCTTGGTGACCTAAATCCTTGAACTGGAAACACAGGCTTATGGATGGGAGGATAAATAATCCTCTTCCTCTTATGTCTCTTTTCAGAGATATTGGACCTGAGGAAAACACCAAACTAGACAGTCATTAAGTCTCTTTAAGGTAGAAACAGGGTCTCTTAGTTTGAGGACTACCACAGCATATGTATTGCATCAGAGCCTACAATGTGGATCCTACCCCCACGTGGACCAGGTCATTCATATCAGCACTACCCTTTCTTAGATGCTTTTGTCTGATAAACTTTGAACTTATCTCTCTGTTTCCAGAACAGAGTTCATAACTCTTCTAAGAAGAGGAAGCAAATCAAAGCTTGGAATTCAAAGCTTTCTCCAGCAGAGTCAACAGACCAATAAAGAAAGGGAGTCCCTCTGCCTGTGGCATTGTCCACACTCACAGGGTCCCACTTTTATTTGTTCCTACAGAGTAAAATGAAGCTAGAAATACCTATCTTTCTTTTTCTTTGGCGTGTGTGTGTGTGTGTGTGTGTGTGTGTAGAGAGAGAGAGAGAGAGAAAGAGAGATGGTCAGCTGGGGAAAAAATAATTCCTTTGTGGATGATACTGGTGTGTGTGTGTTGTGAGAGGGCAGGGTGAAAGGTGGGATAACTTTCTCCCATGCTGGGAAGTTCAAGCTGCAGGTTTCAAACTAAGAGGACATAAAGAGACTTTCAGTTGCATTTTCACTGGAAAAAAGTCAGGACTTATTTCTGAGCCAAGTCCTGAAATATGCCTTACCCTTAACCTACTCAGAGGAAGGGGATTGCCCAGAAGCTACAATTCAGCTAACTAACTGCACTCAGTGGGCAACAAAGACATTATATTTTGTGTTTGAGACATCAACTTCCATTGACAAGGGCAAGGTATAATTCTGAAGCTGCCGAAATGAGAGCAGCTCGCACCACCCTGAAGCCCACCCCAGCAGCTCCAGTGAAACTTCTCCTGCTTCCCAATGGTAAGGCTATTTTCTTCTTTTAAGATTTTATCATCTCAGGAGCTACTCATCTCACTGTTCTCATGACCCAAGGCGCTGTCTGGACTCTCTGGCTTTGGGCCGTTAGGGAAAGCTGAAGTCCTCCTGCAAATCACAGAGCAAGATTCACTGACCTACTGGCAGGTTCACGAGGAGGTGAGGGATTACCAGCTGGGCATTTCATACACCCCAACCAAACAAAACACTATGCTTTCAAAGATTGTCTGATTTGGCCTTTTATCTGGCCTTATTCTCAGAATCTGAGTTATCTTAAGTGGCACTATTCTAGGTAGTCAGACAACATTTTCATGCTTCCTTAAGTACATGAACATGTATCTTCACCCAGGCAAAGTGAGCAAGTGTCAGTAAGGGGAGACAGTCTTCAGTGGTCATCTGGTTAACCATGATGATGGAACACCTAAAGTTCACATGTGAGCATGTCAGGAACACACCAAACCCACCATTGATGCTGGGGAGAGAGGCACAGTAGGAGTTCCTAGACATACAAGTGAGGGTTGGTAAGAGTCACAACAGTAGACAATTTTGTTTATGTGAGAAGGGAATGAGGCAAAATAAGGTATGCAAAAATATTTTCCAGCCAGGCGTGATGGCCCACGCCTGTAATCCCAGCACTTTGGGATACAAGGTAGGTGGATCACCTGAGGTCAGGAGTTTGAGACCAGGCTGGCCAACATGGTGGAACCCCATATCTACTAAAATTATAAAATATTAGCTGGGCATGGTGGCCCGTAATCCTGCTACTCAGGAGGCTGAGGCAGGAGAATCGCTTGAACCGGGGAGGCGGAGGTTGCAGTGAGCTGAGATCCCGCCACTGCACTCCAGCCTGGGCAACAAGAGTGAAACTTCGTCTCACAAAAAAAAAAAAAAAAAAAAATTCCTGGAAGCTCTTGACCTTGGAGAGGGAATGGGGTACGTTCCATTAGACATTCCACTGTTCCCAGACAGGACTAGTCATATATATTTTTTAAAGGCACAGAAATAACATAGAAAATTTAAAAAGTGAGAACTTACAACTCTAGCAGACAAGGGGTAAGAAAATAACGGGATGGGGTTTGTGTGAGGAGGTACAGGGAGGGCTGTTTCGGTACACAGGAAGCAGGCAGCCTGCTTCCCATGTTTGCAGCTCCCATCTGGATGTCTGCCCTGGGGCTTCCTCTGTTGCATTTCGTTCTTAGGGCTGGTAGGAAGTGAATCTCTTCCTTCCCAGACTTGCTTCCTAAGTTCCCCACACCTCTCACCCTACGCTGTGCACTTCTCGCTCCATCCTAAGTTTCTTCTCTACAGGTTTCTCCCAATATGCTCATTACCTCCCAGATCTTCTTACTTAGGCCTACATCGTTCTCTCCAGACTCCTGTCTTCAGCATTCCTCGACCCAACACCCGGGTCCCTCACTTTTTTTGTTAGATACCCTCTCTGCTGCTCCTTTCTCCTCTCTGTCCTTCTGCTGTATACCCAAGCCACATCCCCACGGAGGAGCCCCGCGCCTGCCAGCTCCTGCCTGTCCTCAGACCCCCGTCTGGATCCGTCTCCCGCCTTTTTAGGACCCCCCAAGTCCTTGTTACCACTCTCTTAATACTGGGGCCTTGGGCCAAACTCCTCCGGCCATCTTCCATCCCTCGGACCCCTGCCCAACCCGCGCCCCTCGCCCAGCCTGGCCCCTTCCTTCGCCCACGTCTCCCCCTCCTTTAACGGCCGAGCCCTTCAGGCCCCGCCCCCGGCCAGCGAGGCCCCGCCCCCGCTTTGCCCCAAGCCCCGCCCCTCACTCACCTGAGGCGTCTCCGCGCGCGCGCAGGCTGGTGGGGGAGAGGGGACGGTGTTGGGGGAAAGGGAGGCGGGGCGGCAGCGTTCCCCCACTCTGGCCCGGGCGGCCCAGTGCGGGGGGAGTGAGGTCACTGAGGCGGCGGCAATCGCCGGGCCGGAGCCAGGACCCGGGCGCTCAGAGGCGGTGGCGGCGGCGGCGGCTCCATCTCCATCAGCGGCTTCACCTGAGAAGGGACCTGCCCCCCCAAATATTCCCCCCCATTACAGCCGTCCCCCTCCCCCTAACAACTTCCGGTCCCACTACCGGGCGACAGGCGGCGTGGCCGAACACCGAGCGTCCCCAAGCCGGGGAGACTGCTGGGGAAAAAGGGAGAGGAGCTAGGGGAGAGTAGCTGAGCGCCGAAAGATTTAAGTCCGAAAGGCACTGTCACCTGCCGAAGGTGGCCCAAAGGCTAGCCTTTAATCTGCGCCCAGTTTGCAATCTAAGCACATACTGGACGCCCTATGCGGCCTGGCACGTCTGCCCCTAGAGCCTCGTTTTCCCGCTGTACCATGTGAACCCCCAAAATCTGAGACAGGTCTCAATTTCGGAAGTTTATTTTGCCAAGTTAAGGACACGCTCCTGTAACAGCGTCAGGAGGTCCTGACACATGCCCTAGGTGATCCTAGCACAGCTTGGTTTTATACATTTTAGGGAGACAAGAGACATCAATCAATATATGTAAAGGCGGGACAACTCAAAGCTGGGAGGGGGCTTCCAGGTCATAGGTAGAGAAGAGGCAAATGGTTGTAGTCCTCTCAAAGGAGACAATCAGAAACGCGTTTATCTCAGTGAGTAGAGGGATGACTTTGAATGGGAGGCAAGTTTGCTCTAACCAGTTCCAGCTTGACTTTTCCCTTTAGCTCAGTGATTCTGGGGCCCCAAGATTTATTTTACTTTCACAATCTCTTAAGACAATGTTGATTGTAAACTCCTAGCATTCTTTACCTTTCCTGCTAAGTGTATTGGAATTGTTGGGAGAGGAGTTGGAGGGTAAATGTTTTTGTCCCCTTTGTGGTATCCTGAGGTCAATCACCTAGGTGCCACTGCAGATATTGCCAGACCTGAGAAGGAAACCCTACTTACTTTAGTTTTTTGAGACGGAGTCTCGCTGTCATCCAGGCTGGAGTGTAGTGGCGCGATCTCGGCTCACTGCAACCTCCACCTCCTTGGTGTAAGCAATTCTCCTGCCTCAGCCTCCCAAGTAGCTGGAATTACAGATGCCTGCCACTACACCCAGCTATTTTTTTTTTTTTTTTTTTGAGACTGAGTCTCACTCTGCTGCCCTGGCTAGAGTGCAGTGGTGTGATCTCAGCTCACTGCAACCTCTGCCTCCCCGGTTCAAGCGATTCTCATGCCTCAGCCTCCCAAGTAGCTGAGACTACAGGGGTGAGCCACCACACCTGGCTAATTTTTTTTTTTCATATTTTTAGTAGAGACAGAGTTTCACCATGTTGGCCAGGCTGGTCTCAAACTCCTGACCTCAAGTGATTTACCTGCCTCGGCCTCCCAAAGTGCTGGGATTACAGGCATGAACCACCGCGCCCGGCCAGAAGCCTTTTTAACCTACAAGACTGCTTCCTCTCTGTCTTCCTCCCCAACTTTGTTTGTTTTGGACTAATCTCATTATACATCCCAGTACAAATGCGTCCTCTCTCCTGCAATAGGCTCACTCCCTAGGCCCAAGAGTAATGATCTTAAACAGACTATTAGAAAAGTAGAACTATAAAAGGAGACGGTTGCACCCCTTGCTTTCCTCACAACCCTCTGGCAACCTGGAGAAGCAGTAGAAAATAGTATATACACTTTTCTTACATATGCCATACACATTTCTTTGAAGAATCCAAAAGGAAAAGCAAAACAAGGCCTTGATGGCAGTAGGCGTTAGAAATGGAGGTGGGGTAGGAAGACAAAATCGTCCTTGTCTCCAGAATTACTTGTCTTACTTCTAGCCCCTTACTGTAACAGCTCACACTTCCTGGCACAGGTTCAAAGGCCAAGAGGGGTATGTAACATACTGTTCAAAGACGGAGGGTCCCTGGGTGAAATGTGCTATATGTGTACTTGGGTATGGCTTAGGAAGGCCAGAGTTGTGATCCAAGATGTCGAGAGATGGGAAAGATATTTCTGAAGCAGTGAGGCCAGTAGGTGGGAAAAGGGGTTGAGGTGGCTCCTTTCCATGTTCATGGGGCGACATGGACGTGGACACGATGCCAGGCATTGCTAAGCACACCTCGCAGGTTCCAGATTGGGGCCACGGTGTCTGGCTGCACATTGTAGCCATCATCCACAGCCTTACAAACGATGTTCAGTTCCTTCTGTCCAGCTGGCACAGGGACTTGCAACTGCCACAGACGCCACGCCCAGGCCTTCCTGGGGCGCTGTTCCTCTCCATCCAACTCTGCCACCTGCCAGGTTAGGCCCCCATCTAGAGACACATCCACCCGGATCACAGCCCTGCCACCACCACTCCATGCATAGCCCTTGATGGTCACTTCCCCTGACTCTACAGTCTCTCCATCCTGGGGCTCTGTGATGGCCGACTGGACAGGAAGTTCCTGAATGGATGGAGCAGAGTCAAAATTGACAGTGTCCCAGTCCACAGATGGAGAGAAGCCTTTGTAATCTCGCCGTTGCCAGTGGCTGTAACTTTCCTCTGGCTGCACACTTACTCTGCCCAGCCATTTGACATGGCGCGCACCCACCACTCCAGGAACCACCACACGCACAGGGAAGCCATGGTCACGAGGCAGAGGCTGCCCATTCATCTCATATGCCAGCAGGACCTCAGCTTCAGGGTCCATGGCCCGAGCCAGAGGGATGGATGCTCCATAGGCAGTCCCAGTAGGATCTGAGTCCAGTCCTTCAAAGCAGACGTGGGCCTCAGTTTCACAGAGTTGGTGGCCAGCCTGGGCTAACACATCACAGAGCCGTGCGCCACCCCAGCGTGCAGTGCTGATGGCTCCTGTCCTCCACTCTAGACCTTTTACTTCTTTGACCTGAGTCATCTCAGAGCGCCGGTTGCCAGCACACTGCAGAGTGACTGTGATCTCGTACTTGGGAAACTTGTGCAAGTCATCCAGGGACAGAGACAGTGATTGACCCCCAGGTGCTCCTACTACGTGTAATCGATAGGTGTCTGGATCCACGTTAGGAACAGGCAGATGGTTCCGGGTGAAGAAGATAGGGTTGGGTGTGATGTAGTTTTCTGTCAGCAGCTCAGGGGGGGGCTCTGCATTAAAGGGGCACTGGCTGTTGACCTTCAGGGCTGGATGACGTACAGGATCATCAGCATAAGGGTCAGAGGTCTCCACGGTGGGGGCCACCTTGTCTTCGGGGCTCAGCTCCCCAATCTTGTATTGAGCCAGTAACTCACGTACATGAGACTGGTTGTGAACAGCATAGAGGGCCCAGAAGGGCTCTAGGGGACCCCCAGCTGCTAGCATCAGCTTTGATGGCCCCCCTGGATGTAGGTCCACAAATTCTGTGACATCAAAGACCTCAGAGCCCAGAGTCACCCAGATCCCAGTTGCAGGGCTGGTATGGGAACTCACTTCCTCCTTAGTGTATATGTGTGTTGACTCCTGAGCAGCCTGTTTGCAGGGAAGGAGTAAGACAAAAGGGAAGAGACTATTAAGAAGAAATCAAGGAGGCTGAGGCAGGAGAATTGCTTCAACCCAGGAGGTGGAGGTTGCGGTGAGCCGAGATCGTGCCATTGCACTCCAGTCTGGGTAACAAGAGCGAAACTCCGTCTCAAAAAAAAAAAAAAAAAAAAAAGAAGAAGAAATCACTCTAGTTCATCCTGACCCAACCTACAGTCTTGGCCACTGGAAACTGAAGGTAGCAGATTTCATCTCTACTGTGCACGAAGACTGTGTGACTGTGGACTCTCTAGTAACTGCAAGAACATGGGTCACAGCCTGGGTTGCCTGTGGAGTTTACTAGAACTGATTCCTCTGTTCTGACAATTTTTTTTTTTTTTGAGATGGAGTCTCACTCTGTCACCTGGGCTCAAGTGGCCCAATCTTGATCTCGGCTCACTGAAGACTTAGCCTTCCAGGTTCCAGTGATTCTCATGCCTCAGCCTCTTGAACATGCCACCACACCTGGCTAATTTTTGTATTTTTACTAGAGACGGGGTTTTGCCATGTTGCCTAGACTGGTCTCAAACTCCTGAACTCAAGTGATCCACCCACCTAGGCCTCCGAAAAGTGCTGGGATAACAGGTGTGACCCACTGCACCCAGTCTGTTCTGACAATGAAGTCCCTTCCCCACTTACCCTACACCGATGGTCCTGATAGGCCAACACTGCACCGAGACCTAATAGGGTCCCCATGACTCTCCATCCCCTGGTGCTGGAGTTATCACCAGAGAAGGTGAGGCTGGGGCGCTGGGGCTGAAATGACTCATTTGTGGAGCAGGCCTGAATGCAGAGCCTTGAGTGGATTGACTTGAGTCTGGAAGAGAGAGAGGTCTTCTTAGTAGCACGTATGGTCATATGAAAGGGCCAGTGAAGGCCTAGGATCTACTTCTTTTCTCCATGGTTGGCCATTTCTTCCTTCAGTTGGAACTCAGTTTCTCAAGGGATAGGTGGGAAAAGTGGGATCTGGCTTTCTCTGTCCTCCCTGGACTCTCTCTCAACTATCTTATTTGGAAGGTAAGATATTGTAAAAAACACTAAGGGCGGGAGATGGGGGCTAGGAGGCAAGTCCCCCAGGGATGGCCTACCTGCAGGCCTGTTGGAGCCTGAGGACCATAGCTCTGTGCAGCAGCAGCATAGTAGCAGACCTGTAGAAGGAAGATTCTGGGATCAAGATAGGGAGACCTTGGGAGGGGATATTAGGGAGACCTAAGGGAATGGGTAGGAGGGAGACGCAGAGAATGTCAGCAAGGAGCTTTCTGGGCAAATGGGGAGTCTTGAGAGTGGAAGTCCAAATGGGCCAGTTAAAACAAACGAAAACTTGGAGCATTTCAGAGATAGACTGTTCTGACCGGATGGCAGGTAATGAGGGTGGGGAATGGGGTAGGAGGAATGAGTGCTTCTAGAATCAACTGTCTTTCATCTTGCGCTCTGAACTTTGTCCACCATAGAGAACCATGCCTGGGGCAAGGGCCTAAAGGACCAGAGCCAAATGTCTACTGGCCAGTTTATTATTTCTGAAGTCATCAGAGGACAAGTGAGGGGCAGACTGACTTTTTTTTTTTTTTTTTGAGACAAAGTCTTGCTTTTTCCCCTAGGCTGGAGTGCAATGGCACAATCTTGGCTCCTGGGTTCAAGCAATTCTCCTGCCTCAGCCTCCCGAGTAGTTGGGATTACAGGCGCCTGCCACCATACCAGCTAATTTTTGTATTTTTAGTAGAGGCAGGGTTTCACCATGTTGGTCAGGCTGGTCTTGAACTCCTGACCTGGAGTGATCTGCCCACCTTGGCCTCCCAAATGCTGGGATTACAGGTGTGAGCCACCACGCCTGTCCCAGACTGACTTAAAACAGGGATAAAAAAGGGAAAAAAGTAGTGGCAGACTAATTGGGTGAAGGAGCCCAGATTCTGGGGGCTAACTACCTTGGGTTTTTGAAACTGTATCTTGCTATTCATTAACCAGACCTATTTCCTGAGCAAGATACCAAGCCTCTCTGAACTTGCTTCCTCATCTCTGAAATAATATCTGCCCTGCAGAGCTAACATGAAGAGTCAACAAGTACAGCAGTACCCCCTTATCCACTGGGGATATGTTCTACAACCCCCAGTGGATGTTTGAAACCATGGATTGTATTAAACCCTGTATTACTGTTTTTTTTTTTTCCCTATACATACATACCTTTTATAGTTCAATTAACAAATTACCCACAGTAAGAGATTAATAACAAAATAGAAAAATTATAACATTATATTATAATAAAAGGGCTGGGTATGGTGGCTCACTCTTGTAATCCTAGCTCTTTGGGAGACCTAGGCAGGAGGACTGCTTGAGGCCAGGAGTCGGAGACCCCATCTCTACAAAAAATAAAAAGTTAATTGGGCGTGGTGGAGTGCACCTGTGGTCTCAGCTACTCTGGAGGCTGAGGTAAGAAGATCTAAGACCAGGATTTTGAGGTTACAGTGAGCTGACTGTGCCACTGCACTTCAGCTTGGCAACAGAGAAAGAGACCCTATCTCAAAACAAAAACAAAGTTATGTGAATGTGGTCTCTCTCTCAAAATATCTTTATTTTTTGGCCAGGCGTGGTGGCTCATGCCTGTAATCCCAACATTTTGGGAGGCCATGGCAGGAGGATCACTTGAGCCCAGGAGTTCAAGACCAGCTTGTGCAACATAGTGAGACTGTATCTCTAGAAAACAAAAATAAATTAGCTGGGCGTGGTTGTGCCTGTCTGAAGTTTTAGCTATTGGGGTGGTGGGGAGAAGAGTGCTGAGATGAGAGGATGGCTTGAGCCCAGGAGGTTGATACTGCAGTGAATCATGATGGTGCGACCGTACTCCAGCCTAGGCAACAGAGCAAGACCCTGTCTCAAAAAAAAAAAAAAAAAAAAAAAAGGCTGGGTGATGAAGTCAGTTATCAGTCATGGCTCACTGCAGCTTCAACCTCCTGGGCTCAAGCCATCCTCCTACCTCAGCCTACCCAGTAGCTGGGACCACAAGTATGTGTCATCAAGCCTGGCTAATTTTTCTGTAGACACGCCGAGTCTCACTACGTTGTCAGGGCTGGTCTTAAACTCCTGGCCTCAAGCAATCTTGCCGTCTTAGCTTCCCAAAGTGCTGGGATTACAGGCATGAGCCACTGTGCCTGGCTTCCCCCCACCCCAGATGGGGTCTCGCTTTGTTGTCCAGGCTGGAGTACAATGGCATGATCTTGGCTCACTACAGCCTCAAAACTCCCAGGCTCAAGCCATCCTCCTGCCTGAAACTCCTGAGTAGCTGGGACCAGAGGTGCATGCAACTATGCATGGTGTTTTGTTTTGTTTTGTTTTGTTTTGTTTTGTTTTATAGAGATGAGGTCTTACTATGTGGCGTAGGCTGGTCCCAAACTCCTGGGCTCAAGTGATCCTTCAACCTTGGCCTCATAAAGTCCTGGGATTATTGCAGGCATGAGCCACCACTTCTAGCTTCAAAATATCTTATTGTACTATGTTCACCCAGTTTCCAAAGTGGTTGACCATGGTTAACTGAAACTCTGAAAAGCAAAACCCGATAAGGGGTCAGACTACTGTAATAACTGTCTTTGAAGGCCTTTTAGTCTCCAACTCTCCCTCCCTTCACCCTAAAAAAATTGAACCCAGCTCATAACTGGACCCCAACCCAGGGTTCCGGACCACCTCCATCTTGGTATACCACTGCAGTGGGCTCAGCAAATTGAAGAGTTAATGGCCAGAATGTCAGGGGCAGGCTGGAGAAGGAATGTAATTTTTCTGCTCTCTGCCCTGCAAGAATTTCTTCCTCACATTGCCGAACAGAGAGCACTGACCCAGCAGGGCCAAAGTGAGGAGGGGTGAGAAATGTCTAAACTGCTGCTGAGATGCTGGAGACCAATGTGTCGGGGCGGGTGAGTGGTGGGTAGGGAGGCAGAGAAACCTAGAGATGGGAATAGGAGCAGTCTTCACTTTGCCCCGAGGCCAAGGGACCCTTACTGTCTCTGCCACCTACCTCAATGCCAGCAGCCTGCTTGTACTAGACCGGAGCAGTGCAGGTAGGGCCGACTCGCAGATGAACTCAGCCCAGAAACCCAGGTTTGGGAGGGACAGCCTTTTGCTGTAATACAGAAATGCCACCCGTTGGTGCAGGTGATGACCCCTCACTCCCCACGGGCACGTTACACGTTACGTAGGAAGATATGTCCGGCATCCGGGCACAAAAGGGTCTTGTTGCAACAACCCGCGATCTCAAAAGCATCCAGAGGGAGTGGAGGCAGGTACTGGTAGTTTTGTTGTCCCTGAGGTTCGGAGCACACCTGGGCGCTAAGGCCCTCTCCGCTGCCCGACTCAGCAGCCCCCCTCCTCCCCGTCTTCTTTCCCACCCCCAGACCCCTTACCGGGTCCGGCGTCCTCAGCAATACTGTTATACGGGCCCAGTGCTCAGAGTTCTCGCGAAGGGGCGGGGCCAGCAGCTGTTAAGTCCGGCTGGAGTGAAGGCCACTCACGCCCCTCAGCTCATCTCCCAGCCATTGGCTGGAAGCGTAGCCTCGAAGCTGTTGCGCCCACCTCCTGGAGCCAAGACAGGCAGGTTGCCAGGACGCCTCGGAGAAGAGATTGGCTCTTTTTGCTGTCACTCTCGCTCCAGTCTGGAGTCCATTACCGGCCCCCCCACCCCCCCACCCCCGCCACCCAAGCACAAACAATAGGACGCTCGCGCACCGGGGCTGTGGTCCGGAGCTCGGGCAGTGTGAAAGGTGACGAGGAATCCAAAACAGGGGCTGAGACGTGGGAGATTTCAGACGCCCCTGCCGCCCCACCCTGGAGGAGGCCTTGGGATCCAGTCAGGTTTCTCCTGGCTGTGATCTCTGCTTTTACCCCAGGGTAGACCTACCTCTATCCTGTTGCAACTACAACTACCCTGTTTATCTTTTAGGGAAAGCAAGGTCAATCACTCAGTTCTCATATCCAGGAACAAGAACAGAAATACCTAAAATAGTGGTTCCAAGAATTTGAGATTCCTTGGGCTACTCGAATTTCTCCACAAACAAAAGTGAACAAACAACACTGAATAGCCAGCTTTTATTTTGTGTAGAAAAAAAAAAAAAGAAAAATTGCCCCTTGGTGGTACACTCCTGTAGTCCTAGCACTCGGGAGGCTCAAGGCGGGAGGATGGCTTAAACCCAGGAGTTCGAGGTTGCACTGAGCCAAGATCGCGGGCACTGCACTCAAGCCTGGGCAACAGAGCAAGACTCCGTCTTTTTTTTTTTTTTTTTTAAATGGAGTTTCACTCTTCTTGCCAGACTGGAGTGCAAAGGCTCAATCTTGGCTCACCGCAACCTCTGCCTCCCAGGTTCAAGCGATTCTCCTACCTCAGCCTCCCGAGTAGCTGGGATTACGGGCATGTGCCACCACACCGGGTTAATTTTTTCATATTCTTAGTAGAGATGGGGTTTCTCCATGTTGGTTAGGTTGGTCTTGAACTCCCGATCTCAGGTGATCCACCCGCCACGGCTTCCCAAAGTGCTGGGATTATAGGCGTGCCCAGCCGAGACCCCAGCTCTTAAAAAACAAACTGTCCAAGGCCAGGCGTGGTGGTTCACGCCTGTAATTCGGCACTTTGGGAGGCCGAGGCAGGCGGATCACAAGGTTAGACCAGCCTGGCCAATATGGTGAAACCAGTCTCTAATGCAAATACAAAAAAATTGGCCGAGCGCGGTGGTGTGTGCCTGTAGTCCAAGCTACTCAGGGGGCGAGGGAGAAGAATCGCTTGAACCTGGGAGGCGGAGATTGCAGTGAGCCTGAATTGCGCCACTGCATTCCGGCCTTGGGCGACAACCAGACTCTACCTCGAAAAACAAAAACACACCACCCCTTAACAAGAGCAATGGCAGTTTAACACCCAAAAGTATGAAGGTTGTAGTCTCTTAAAGTAAAGGACACTCATAGGATACATTTTCTATTACCCTTTTATCGTTTGATGCAGGACAAAATTGATCAAACCTAGTCCCCTAACCTGGGCAAATGTGTCCATATACTGCCCTCTAGAGGCCCGAGGGTGGAGCTACAATTTTAATCAGTTTAAGCGAAGCTGTTCACCTTTAATTTTGAAAGATCATTTTCCTTTCCTTTGGGCTCTCCAACTAGAGCTTTTACCAGGAATCAATGAATAGGAGTAGGGGGTGGTACTAAGAGATATAAGGTAAGGGAACCGACAGTGAAAAATTGGCTTTGCCTCTTAAGTGCTTGGAAATGGAAAGGATTTCAATCTGTATACAATCAAATTATTGAAGAAGGCTGATGCCCAACCTATACTACCAGTTAAAACAAACAAAAAGAAAAAAAAAAAAAAAAGAAACAGAGAGCTGCAAGTTAAAAAACAGTCTTAGCCCAATGAAGATACAGAGAAGTCAGTTAGGGATTATCTAAAAAGCCTCCTTCCTAATAGTGTCATCTACTTTTGTGCTACACAGATGCGTTACATAATTGACCTTAATCTTCAGCATTTATTTTACAGATGAAGAAACAGAGGCAGAAAGCACTAACTAACGTGATCTCAAGGCCACAGCTTATAAGTTGACAGAGATGGGCCTAAAATGCCAGGTTTGTCTGGTACCAATCCTCTTTCCTATCCTTAAGATTTTTTGGAATTTAAAACCCCCTGCAACTATACATAATCCTTTCTATTTCATTTCCCTTCTCTCAGCTTTTAGACTGTGAGGGACTGAAGGGTTTGAAGTACACTAGGAGTCAAGAGCAGATCCAGGGGAAATTTTCCCATTGAGGTGGAAGCCACAAGATCAATCAAAAAACTAATTCAGTGATGTAATTCGGCACTTTGGGAGGCCGAGGCAGGCGGATCACAAGGTTAGGTCATGAACCCCTTTGAGAAACATATAAAAATGGATCCTAGAAATATGAACATACATTTTTGTATACTACTTCAAATAGCACCACCTCCCTCCAATCTCATCAGTGTGCCCAAAGATCCACAGACTACACCCTATACATACACGTTCTGTTAAGATGGCCTAAAAAAGATAAATAGGGTTCAATTTGATGAACAATCTAGTGGCCTTAGAATAGGGGTGATTAAATAACAACAGAAGGGATATTTTCCAAACTGGATGTTTAAGAAAAGCTTAAAGGGAATAAGGACGTACCAAATGCAGGGGAAGGTGTGTTTCTGATTCAATAAAACATTACTGGGTATCCTTTTTTCCAAATTCCTAGTACCTGACAAACAAATAGCAAAAAAGAAAAAAAAGAAACACTCCAATGCCCTTTTCTTTTTTTCCTTTTTTTACTTACATTAAATACATTGGTAAATCAGCAGTCGCATTCTGTTACCACGATTGTTATGTTGGGAGAGGAAGAAAGGCAAATACTTTCTCAGAAGCAAAACAAAAACAAAACCCACAACACCCCCCCTTAAAAAAACTGACCAGAAGAAAAAAAATGAGCTGGGAAATTAAAAAAAAAAAAACCCTAAGATCCCCAAGCCCAACAGAGCTCAAAGGAAGGCAGAAGAGCTGGTAGGAAGTAGAGGGAAGGCAGCCGGTAGGCCCAGAAGCTAAGGCCAAATCCTGTTCCTATGGGGGTGGGGGAGGGAGAAGCCTGGGAAAATCGTTTCCCAGCCCCAAGACAATGAGACATCTTTGCTCCTACTCCATGGGGGAAAGCTGCAGAGAGAAAGAACTTCATTTCTAGGAGACTTTAGAAAGCCAACCTAGTTCTTCCACTTATAAAAAGGATGCACTGGGTGCTTTGGGGGGCCAGTGGCTTCTGGGAAAGGAAGAGGGAAATGTGTGTGTTTCAGGGCCATGGGAACTAAGGCTGCCCCTGGAAAAGGAAGGGAATTGAGGCCTAAGTGGAAGAACCTAAGCTGGGTCCTTCAGAATCTCAGCTTCATAGATTTCTCAGCTGTTCTGGGATAGAAGGCAGTCTGCAAGCCAAAAGGGCAGAAAGGTTCCAATCCTAGGTCACTGTGACCTTTCCTTTCTTTCTTTCTTTCCCAAAACTCTGGGATGGAACAAGGAACTTAAAGTTCTCTTTTGCCTTGATGGTTTCCCAGATACATCTTAAAACACCCAATGAGGGATATGAAGAGAGGCTAAAGATTTAGAAAGGACCAAGGTCCTCTGATAATATGAGTCAGTTGTAAGGTACCTTCGGTGCCGGTCATTCCCTGTCCACAGGAACAGGTGGTATGATATGAGGGTGCCACAAGGAGGCCTCTGTGGTACTAGCCCCTAGTGGTACATGGATTAAACCACTGGTTGCATGGTGGAAAGGAATGGGGGGATTAAGAATGGAGGGACTAAATTCAAGATATTAACAAAGAAAAAAGGAAACAGGGCCTGGTGGGAGGCAGAGGATAGAACAGACTGTACAGTAGGAATAAAGATCATATCTATTTACAGGGAAGTAGAAAAGACATGGTAATGGATATCAAATTGAGTGTGAAACCTGGGAAAGGATAGAATAACTCCTCCCTTTTGCCTGACCTCCTTTTTACTCCCCTACCTTGGCCTACGCTATCCTGAGACACTCCCCAATTGCTCAGTTAATTCTCCAGGAAAGGCAAACCTATACTCAGTAGCGAGATGGGCAAGAATATAGGTTAAGAATTGAGTTGGAGGAAGCTAACAGTGGAGATTGGACTTAAATAGCTGCCACTGGTACTTTTATCTAATCTCTCCCAAAACCTCATATTAACCTCAGATTTCACTGAATTAAAAAGAAGGTGGGAGGGCAGGGAAATCAATCAAAACCTCCATAAAACAAGTACCCCAACTGAACTACCATCAATTAAAGTGCAAACTGCAGGGGCATATGGTAGTTGGGGCTGAGGCCATCTAAAGGCCAGAGGGAAAAAAATGCATATGTATAAATCAGAGGACGGGTATCAGAAACTGGTCCCTCCTCCAATTAGATCACAGCAGAGCCAAAGATGCAGGCAACCAGTGAAGATTCTTTGGAGGACTCTGGGGTCCAATCCCCATGACAGGGGAAATGCTACCTAAGAGGCTGCATGAGGGGAAACTGGGCCTTGGAAGAGTTACAGAGCCACAGATAACACTGTACCTCCACCTCTGCCCAGTTAGCTTACAGGACACCTCCTGCCTGGTGCCTGAGAGCTTGCCTCCCCATTCTCACCTCTACCTAGGAACATCCTCTACAAGGCCAACGCATGGATACTACAATGTTTTCAAATATGAGAAACTCAAACCAAATAAAAACAAAAAGGAAATGTTTCCTTACTCCCTCCTGCTCTGAGCTTTATTCTCCCCCAGGGTCCTTAATGTAAATGAACTGGAAACCTCCTTCCTCAGCTCCTGGGTTTACTACCTTCTGCATCCTGGGGAGAGGAGAAAAGAGGATCAAGAACAGAGATTGATCAAAAGCAGAAAGGGGAAAGGACAGGAGACAGAAGTGTTTTCTGAAATAATGGGGAGGAACACTAGGGAGGAGGAGAAAAGATAAGTAAGTCACTGTCTTGTACCTATAATACAAAGTGAAGAAAGTTTGTTTTGGAAGGTTAAGTCCTGGGGGGAGTTGACCCCCAAGCCCCAGAGTAGGGGGTAGGAGGCCAGTGGCAACAGCTGCCTGGTGTTGGTTGCTGAAGCATTAAAAAGTGCCATGACGGAGCTGTCAGGAGGCAGCCCTTGGGAGCCAGGGCTCAGTGTGCTGTTACCGTAGGGGCTGTGTGCTGAGGGGTAGGGATGGACGTTATTTCTTAGCTCTCGTGCTAGCTCCATACTTGTTTGCTGCTAGCCACCCCCTCAGTTGCTACAACACTGGCTCTTGTTCTGCTGGGACTGTTCATGGAGATCCACACCCCGGCTTCGGCATGCTGCACCTCCCAGATTCTGGGGTTCACTCTTTGGCAACTTCTTAGCTAGAGATAAAAAGAGAAGGGAACAAAGTATGGTAGATTTTACTTCCCTACCCCTCTGCCCCCACCCCTCCACCCCCTGCCCAAAAAAGCTACTGAGTTGGGGAAAAGGGAGAATTTGAGAGATTAAAAGAATGTTCTGGGCCGGGCGCGGTGGCTCAAGCCTGTAATCCCAGCACTTTGGGAGGCCAAGGCGGGTGGATCACGAGGTCGAGAGATCGAGACCATCCTGGTCAACGTGGTGAAACCCCGTCTCTACTAAAAATACAAAAAACTAGCTGGGCATGGTGGCGCGTGCCTGTAATCCCAGCTACTCAGGAGGCTGAGAAAGGAGAATTGCCTGAACCCAGGAGGCGGAGGTTGCGGTGAGCCGAGATCGCACCATTGCACTCCAGCCTGGGTAACGAGAGCGAAACTCCATCTCAAAAAAAAAAAAAAAAAAGAATATTCTGAAGATGGGAGGGTTCACTGTTTGCAAACTAAGACAAGGGAGCTAAAGCTGCAGCCAAGGATGGAGGTCACAACAGAAAGTAAAGGTATTTCCATACCTAAAGTTTTTGCAAAAGGAGACATTCACACCTAACCTTGATTTGGGTTAGCTATAATTCTGCCTATGAATGAGGGAAAAAGGAAGACCTCAGGATGTTCTGACCTTACCTATTGCCAGGAAGAGATCATTCACGTTCATTGCCGTCTTGGCTGAAGTCTCCATAAACAATAAGCTGTTGTCATCTGCATATGCCTGGGCCTCCTGCAAGGAGTGGGGTGTATTGATGCTCAGAATGTAGGGTGGGAGCAAGTATTGCCTTTCCACTCCCATGTAGCACAAGAGCTAGGCAAAATCCTAAGTTCCTTCCCCTTAATTAATATCCCTTTGAGCTAGCTAGCCTAGATGCATAATTTGATGACAACTCCCTCAAGATGACCCCATGTCCATTCAGTCCAACACAAATGTCAGAAAGCTTAATTATAGGGGAGAGGGTAAGTTGGTTGGGAGCTTTTGGGTTCTGACACTTGAATAGTCCCTTACCTCAAATTTAATTGCTCCCTCCTTCCTGTTTTCACATTGGTACCCTCACAGCTGGTACTTCCCTAACTCTCTGCTCTGGAATTTTCTTCTGATGCCTCTAAAATCTCCTGGCTGTCATTAGGGTCATAGTGTTGCTGTATTTAACTTGGTGTAGAACTAGGGAATGAGACAATGAGTGTCCTCAGTTGACGTTTTCAGAGGGGGCTGGTTTGAAAACAAAGGTCCCAGGAACAGAGGAAGTATCAGAGAGAAACTCTATGGGCCGCCTTACTTCATACTCCACCATACGCTTGTTGGCCAGGTCAGCTTTGTTCCCCGCTAGAGCAATAACGATGCTAGGACTCGCCTGTCGCTGTAGTTCCTTCACCCATGTCTTCGCTCGGGCAAAGGTTTCCTAGGAAAACATTTAGAGAATGAGTAGTTTGGAATGACTGCCAATCCATATCTATCACCTTTTAAAATGAGTCTCAAAATTCACCTCTTCCAGGTGGCTTTCCCTCACTGAAACCACAGGTCTTTGATAATTCATTATCTCTGTCTTCTTAGCACTTGGAAGCATAATTAGTACTCTTACTTGCTATTTCAAGAACATGTTTTCTGCCCACCCACTCCATCTAATTTAATTCCTCTAAATATAAGCAAGGACAGTCTTCTTAACTCACTTACCTGATTAGTAATGTCGTAAACCACGATTGCAGCTTGGGCACCCCTGTAGTACATGGGGGCTAAGCTGTGGTATCGCTCCTGCCCAGCTGTATCCCAGATCTCAAACTTGACTGTTGTGTCATCTAGACAAACCGACTGGGTGAGGAAGGCCGCTATGAATAAGAGAAAGGAGGGGAAGATGCTGTAAGTGAGAGGATAATGGGAACATACCCTACTTCAAAATATAACCATCCTCACTCTAAGACCAGTCACCCTGCAGGATACTCAGCTATAGGAGAAGGTTTTGAGTTCTCCTTACATGTAAGTCTTGGAACCAGGATTAAGACTGCCCTTGGCTAAATCCTTCCTGCCAGAAATGTCTCTGGCTAAGGAATGGGGGTACATCATAAACTAAGAGGGACAGAAGAACTGGCACTTATATGAGTCATCCTTCTAACCAAAATAGGAGAATAACAAATGACAAAGACAATAGCTTCAGAGAGAAGTCACACCAAGAATTAATTAGAAGATTGGCTGGGCATGGTGGCTCACACCTGTAATCCTGGCACCTTGGGAGGCCAAGGCGGGGGGATTACCTTGAGGTCAGGAGTTTAAGACCAGCCTGGCCAACATGGTGAAACCCCATCTCTACCAAAAACACAAAAGTTAACCAGACGTGGTGATGGACACCTGTAATCCAAGCTACTCAGGAGGCTGAGGCAAGAGGATTGCTTGAACTGGGGAAGCAGAAGTTGCAGTGAGTAGAGATCATACCACTTCACTCCAGTCTGGGTGACAAAGTGAGACGCAGTATCAAAAAAAAAGAATAAGAATATTTTAAAGCTTGATGGCAAGTACCATCATTATTATTATTATTATTATTTTTGAGACGGAGTTTCGCTCTTGTTACCCAGGCTGGAGTGCAATGGCGCGATCTCGACTCACCGCAACCTCCGCCTCCTGGGTTCAGGCAATTCTCCTGCCTCAGCCTCCTGAGTAGCTGGGATTACAGGCACGCGCCACCATGCCCAGCTAATTTTTTGTATTTTTAGTAGAGACAGGGTTTCACCATGTTGACCAGGATGGTCTCGATCTCTCAACCTCGTGATCCACCCGCCTCGGCCTCCCAAAGTGCTGGGATTACAGGCTTGAGCCACCGCGCCCGGCCGAGTACCATCATTATTAATATTATTTGGCTGTTACTTTTTCATATAATCTGCTGCAGGTCCAGGAATACATTTCTAAGATGACTAATAAAAAGGGGAAAGAGGCTGGGCATGATGGCTCACATTTGTAATCCCAGCACTTTGGGAGGCCAACGTGGGTGGATCACCTGGATCACCTCAGGTCAGTAGTTTGAAACCAGCCTGGCTAACATAGCAAAACTCTGTCTCTATTAAAAATACAAAAATTAGCCAGGCATGGTAGCACATGCCTATAATCCCAGCTGCTCAGTAGGCTGAGGCACGAGAATCACTTGAACCTGAAAAGCAGAGGTTGCAATGAGCCAAGGTCATGCCATTGCATTCTAGCCTGGGCAAGAGTGAGACTCCACTGCATAAATAAATAAATAAATATAAAAAGGGGAAGGAATAATATAGAAGTTCCCATAAAAGATCCTTTATTGAATTAGCACCCTATTTTTGGGGTAGTAGCTGGGTAAAGGTAGCAAAGATGGGAAAGACAGATACCCTGTATAGTTTGCATTAGTTCCAGCCTCTATTTTATCAGATTTTTTTTTTCACCTCATTTTTTAAATTTTCTTTCATCTAGGTTGGAGTGCAGTGGTGTGATTCTGGCTCACTGCAATCTCTGCCTCATGGTTCAAGCAAGTCTCCTGCCTCAGCCTCCCAAGTAGCTGGGATTATAGGTGTGTGCCACCATGCCCAGCTAATTTTTTTTTCTTTTGAGATGGAGTTTCTCTCTAGCCACCCAGGCTGGAGTGCAATGGCACAATCTTAGCTCACTGTAACCTCCACCTCCTGGGTTCAAGCAATTCTCCTGCCTCAGCTTCCTGAGTAGCTGGAATTATAGGCATATGCCACCACATCCAGCTAATTTTTGTATTTTTAGTAGAGATGGGGTTTCACCATATTGGTTAGGCTGGTCTTGAATTCTTGGCTTCAAGCGATCTGCCTGCCTTGACCTCCCAAAAAACTGGGATTACAGGTGTGAGCCACCATGCCCGGCCTATTTTACCAGATATTTTGATGAGAGCTTTTCCAAAAACGTGCATATGCTGCTGCTACCAACCTCAACCTACCTCTAATACTAATTAGTAGATCTAGGGTCCAGCCCAAGCAAGAATAGGTTGAAAATGCTACCCCAAATAATTCTGATACGTTATTGATTAGGAATCACTGCTCCAAACCAAAATTTTTCTTTCTTTTTTTTTTTTTGAGACAGTCTCGCAGGCTGGAGTGCAATGGCATGCTCTCAGCTCACTGCAACCTCCGCTTCCCAGGTTCAAGTAATTCTCCTGCCTCAGCCTCCCAGGATTACATGTGGGCACCACCACACCCAGCTAATTTTGTATTTTTAAGTAGAGATGGGGTTTGACCACGTTGGTCAGGCTGGTCTCGAACCCCTGACTTCATGATCTGCTCACCTCAGCCTCCCAAAATGCTGGGATTACAGGCATAAGCCACTGTACCTGGCTCCAAACCAACTTTTATCTGCTCAAGATGACATTCAACTTAACTGGTATTAAGATAATAGAGTAGGAAAAGGCAGACAGACATAAAAAATGGATTTTCTTGGTGTGAAAAGGTCAACCTCTGTTTCTTCTAGGAAGCAAAAGGATGAACATGTACCAGCTTTTTGGCATTATGGCAATTACTTTTCTTTGTTTTTATATATTAATTTTTTGAGATAAAGTTTTGTTCTTGATGTCCAAGCTGGAGTGTGATGGTGTGATCTCAGCTCACTGCAATGCCTGCCTCCCAGGTTCAGTGATTCTCCTGCCTCAGTCTCCTGAGTAGCTGGGATTATAGGCACCTGCTGCCACGCCCAGCTAATTTTTGTATTTTTAGTAGAGACAGGGTTTCACCACGTTGGCCAGGCTGGTCTCGAACACTCGACCTCAGGTGGTCTGCCTGCTTTGGCCTCCCAAAGTGCTGGGATTACATACGTGAGCCACTGGGCCTGGCCTCTGTTTTAAAGGGTTTCCATTCCTGGGGAAAAGAATAGGACTAAGAGGGGCAGCTCCATAATCAGGTCCTAGATCTCTTTTCTTTTCAAGAGACGGGGTTTCACCATGTTGGCCAGGATGGTCTCGATCTCTTGACCTCGTGATCCACCCGCCTCGGCCTCCCAAAGTGCTGGGATTACAGGCGTGAGCCACTGTGCCTGGCCCCCTAGATCTCTTTTCAAAAGCCTTAATGGTTGGACGCAGTGGTTCACACCTATAATCCCAGCCCTTTGGGAGGCCAAGGCAGGCAGATCACCTGAGACCAGACTGGCCAACATGGTGAATCCCCTTCTCCACTAAAAATATAAAAATTAGCCAGGCGCTGTGGTGGTGTGCACCTATAATCCCAGCTACTCGGGAGGCTGAGGCACAATAATCAGTTGAACCAGGAAGATGGAGGTTGCAGTGAGCTGAGATCGCCACTGCACTCCAGCCCGGCAGACAGAGTGAGACTCCATCTCAAAAAAGAAAAAGAAAAAAGCCTTACCAAGCATTGAATCTCCTCTTACCCCAAGGCACTCACCTCCAATGGTGCTCTCCTGGTACTCATGGAACTGCCCTTTGACAAAACGTAATACCAAGCTTGACTTTCCCACTGCAGATTCTCCCAGCAGGACCAATTTGAACTGGCATATTTTGCTGGCCTGGGGTTGCCCATTGGGCCTAGCTGTGCTTCTGCTAGTCATGGCCAGATTATGAAAGTAGGAAAGGGTGGAGGGAGGGGGATGCCGTAAAGGGAGGGGGGGAAGGGGAGGGGATTTCCAGGCTTCAACAGTCCTGCAAGAAAAAAAAGTGAATAAAGTTAGACATGGGTCCATTGAACTGCAATTGCTTTTCAGAAAAATGATAGAATCTCTTCATCTCTTTGCTCCTATGAGGACTTAGCTCTTGCAGTCATCCACTATTGACAGGTTATACCTCTGAGAAGGTCCCAGGCAGCTGATACTCAGTTCTAAGAGTTGGGAACTTAAGCAAAATAAGAACTGCTTCTAGAGTTTGCCCTATCACTTAATCTCTAACTACCAAGGGAGCTGAAATAGAGAGATTGAAAACTGAGAGATTTTAATTCCCTAGTAATTTCCCACCAGGTCTTTAAGATTTTTTGTTTGAATCACACAAACTGATCAACCTTTGGTTGGCCTGAAGAATATGCAGATCCACCTACAGGTACCCTATATCCCCAGAATCTCCTTGGCATCCTGGTGCTGTGTTCTTCTTTTTCTTTCAGCTCTTTGTCAGAATGAGGATTCACTCTAGGGGTGTGGGATAAGAGTCACCCCTTCTAAGGGGAGAAGAGTAGCTGCTGCTATATCCTTCATATATGACTGGTCTCCCTGATAAGACATTTCTAAAGATCTAACCAGGGTCCCATTAACAGAAAATCTATACTTTCTCATTTTTTGTTGAAGGTAAAGAAATAAATACAACCAACTGATCGTCCTATTTCATTATCAACTCTGTTTCATTAACAATACTTTTTTCACTTTGTTTTTGCCCTCTTTTCAAATCTGAAAGACTATCAAGTCTGAGAGTCAGTAAGCTTGACCTACTGTCAACTTGCAGCTGTCTTGCTGGTGCCTAGGGATTAGATTACCCTCCACACCAAAGAGGCCTAACAGCTGTAGCCCTCCAAACTAGAGGCAGAGAAAGGTATACTTTCTAAACACATGCAGGAGTCTCCAGAGGATGGTATAGGGGCTAAGTCTGCAAGCAATCAATATTTGATGAAAGAATATACTGAATCAACTCCTCTGTCTTCTAAGAGGGCTAAGAAAGCTGCTGGTGGGGCAGGAAACAGAGAGAAGAGTTGGGACTTGGAGATTCTAATCATCTAAATCTGAATATATTTCATCATCATGACTCTGAATGGAAAGGAGCTATAAAATTCAAAGGGGAGTTAGCATGGGCAGAGCATGCAAAAATCTCTCTCCCAAAGGTAAGCACTGCTTGACAGTTGTACTTTGCTTGTTCAAATTAATCTTTCCCTTTTCCAAAGCTGATCCTTGTGACTTAACAGACATCATACTCTATGGCATGTGGGGAAACATTATTATTTTGTCACAATTAGTGGGTCTGGAGTTAAACTGGGGTTAAAAATTTTCAGTAATCCCACTGACTAGATAGTAAAGACAGAAAATCATACAGGAGGCAATGTAGAGGAACAAAGGTTCTGGAGTCCAGTTCTCTGGGTTTGTTTTCCAATTTTACTTACTAGCTATGAACCTTGGGTAAGTCACTAAACATATGTGTGCATTCGTTTCCTCATCTGTAAAATCAGTTAACAGCCTTATAAGCACCTACTTCATAAAGGTATTGTAAAGATTACATGAGATCATGCATAAAGAAAATTTCTCTACTTAAGCCTTACCTTCTATCTTTGTAAAATGGAAAAAATACCATCCTCATAGCTACAAAAATTAAGTGAAAGATGTGTTTAGCATAGTTCTAATAATAATAGCTATTAAAATATATCTCAATAGTAGTTTTTATCAGTATATTCCTAAAAAGCTCACATCTGTAATCCAAGCACTTTGGGAGGCTGAGGCAGGTGGATCACCGAGACCAACCTGGTCAACGTGGTGAAACCCCATCTCTACTAAAAATACAAAAAATTACTTGTACATGGTGGTGCATGTCTGTAATCCCATCTACTCCAAAGGCTAAAGCAGGAGGAACCTTAACCCAGGAGGCAGAAGGTTCAGTGAGCTGAGACTGAGCCACTGAATTCCAGCCTGGACAACAGAGCAAGGCTCTGTCTCAAAAAAAGAAAAACAAAACAAAACACCGGGCATGGTGGCTCATGCCTGTAATCCCAGCACTTTGGGAGGCTGAGGCGAGTGGATCAAGAGGTTAGGAGTCAGAGACTAGCCTGACCAACATGGTGAAACCCTGTCTCTACTAAAAATACAAAAATTAGCTGGGTGTGGTAGCACACGCCTGTAGTCCCAGCTACCTGGGAGGCTGAGGCAAGAGACTCATTTGATCCCAGGAGACAGAGGTTGCAGTGAGCTGAGATCATGAAACTGCACTCCAGCCTGGTGACAAAGCAAGACTTCGTCTCAAAAAAAAGGAAAAAAAAAATTTAGCCAGGTGTGGTGGCAGGCGCCTGTAATCCCAGCTACTAGGGAGGCTGAAGCAGGGGAACTGCTTGAACCCGGGAGGTGGAGGCTGCTGTGAGCCAAGATCCTGTCATTGTACTCCAACCTGGGTAACAGAGCAAGACTCTTTCTGGGGGTGGGGGCAGCAGCTACAAAATGAAAGTGGTACAGAGAAAGAAAAAGAAAAAACAGGCCTGGCACAGCAGCTCATGCCTCTAATCCCAGGGGTTGGGAGATAAAAGTGGAAGGGTTGCTTGAGGTGAGGAGTTTGAGACCAGCCTGGGCAACACAGCAAGACTGAGTGTCTATACAACTTTTTTTTTTTTTTTTTTGAGCTGGAGTCTCGCTCTGTCACCAGGCTGGAGTACGGTGGCGCAATTTCGGCTCACTGCAACCTCCGCCTCCCACGTTCAAGTGATTCTCCTGCCTCAGCCTCCCAAGTAGCTGGGATTATAGGCGTCCACCATCATGCCTGGCTAATTTTTTTTATTTAGCAGAGACGGGATTTCACCATGTTGGCCAAGATGGTCTCAATCTCCTGACATCGTGATTCACCCGCCTCAGCCTCCCAAAGTGCTGAGATTACAGGTGTGAGCCACTATGCCCCGCCTACAAAACATTTTTAAAAATTAGCTGGGCATGGTGTTACATGCCTGTAATTCCAGCTACTCCAGAGGCTGTGATGAATCACCTGAGCCCTGGAGTTGAAGGTTGTAGTAAGCTATGATTGCACCACTGCACCCCAGCTTGGGCGACAGAGCAAGACTCTGTCTCTAAATAAATAAATATGTATGTATGTATGTATATTATCTCGGCTCACTGCAACCTCCACCTCCTGGGTTCAAGTGATTCTCCTGCCTCAGCCTCCCAAATAGCTGGGATTACAGGCATGCACCACCATGCCTGGCTAATTTTTGTATTTTTAGTAGAGATGGAGTTTCAACATGTTGGTCAGGCTGGTCTTGAACGCCTGACCTCGTCATCTACCTGCCTTGGCCTCCCAAAGTGCTGGGATTATGGGCATGAGCTACTATGCCCGGCAATCAGTTATTTTTTAAACTATTCATTTTTTTCAAACTATGGGTTATTTAAGAAAAAAGTTTTAAAAACATTGCTTTGGAGAGAGCTGACGCTGAAAGATGGGTTAGTAGGGATGGAAATAAATTCAGTTTCTGAACAGTCTATAGCTATGGTTACTACTCAAGCACTTCTGGATGAAATTCAGATGAGGACTCAATGATGGGCCTTCCAGGGGTCAGAGAATTCTCCAACCCTGCCACTAAAGTTGTAGCACAATCATGAAAGTGGGGAGAGCCAACTTAGAGGCAGTCCTGTAGAGCTGGTAAAGTTTTTAGAATCAGACAAGTCTGAGTTCTGTTCTCTGCTTTGCCACAACCCACAGTGAGCTGAGGCTACTCATTCCTTTTGTTTTTCTGATCCTCAGTTTCCTTATCTATTAGGATCTTTGGGGCAGAATGGAATTGGGGAAAGTGGCAAAGAGCAGAATTTGAATTCACTTCCAAAGTTTTGCGTACATTTAAGAAACTTACTGCTAAGGCATCTGTGAGGATAAATTACTTTTTTTTTTTTTTTTCTGTCACTCTCAGGATATGCTTAAGTTACTGAGGATGAATTACTTCTAAAACATCTTATATTTATGTGGTATTCATACACACTGTCTCATAAGAAAAAGAGGACAGACTAGCAGAATGCTAAACTTTAAAAGAGTTTAGGCTTGGTGGCTCACACCTGTAATACTGGCACTTTGAAAGGCTGAGGTGGGAGGATTGCTTGAGGCCAGGAGTTCAAGACAAGTGTAAGGAACATAGTGAGACCTTGTCTCTACAAAAATTAAAAAAAAAAAAAAAATTAGCCGGGCATAGTGGTGTATGCTTGTCATCCTGGCTACTCAGGAGGCTGAGATGGGAGAATCACTTGAGCCCAGGAGGTTGAGGCTGCAGTGCATGCCACTGCATTCCAGCATGGACCACAAAGTGAGACTCTGTCTCAAAATAATAAATAAATAGACCAGGCGTGGTGGCTCTCGCCTGTAATCCCAGCACTTTGGGATGGTCAAGGCAGGTGGATCACCTGAGGTCAGGTGTTTGAGACCAGCCTGGACAACATATAGTGAAACCCTATCTCTATAAAAAATACCAAAATTAGCTGGGCGTGGTGGTGCACGCCTGTAGTCCCAAATACTTGGGAAGCTGAGGCAGGAGAATTGCTTAAAGCTAGGAGACAGAGGTTGCAGTAAGCTGAGATCGTGCCACTGTATTCCAGCCTGGGCAACAGAGCAAGACTCGGTCTCTCAAAAATAAATAAATAAAAGACAAGACAAATGACACAATTTTAAAAAAAGAACAGATAAGCTGATCAGATTTCCTTCAGGTCACATATATATGCTATACTCTCAAGAAACAATAGAACACGTTACTAGTTTTTTCAACTTACTCCCCCACATTTTAATGTATTTCAAAGCATGTGATTCAAGGGGTAGAATATTAAGCCTCAATGTTACTACTCTACAATATGGGAAAATGTGGGAGTTACAACAGACTGAATTCTCATAGTTAAACGTATACTTGAGCTCTAGGGTAGTGTAAAGACAGGAAACAGTTGCAGACACAGTTCAGTTGCAAAGTCCCAGTCACTAACTCCCAGAGATGGGAAGTCAAG